CCATTGCACTATAGCCTGGGCGACAAGAGCAAAACTCCGTCTCAAAAAACAAAAAAATACAAAAATTAGCCGGGCATGGTGGCGGGCGGGTGCCTGCAATCCCAGCTACTTGGGAAGCTGAGACGTGAGAATCGCTTGAACTTGGGAGGTGGAGGTTGCAATGAGCCAAGATCGTGCCACTGCACTCCAGCCTGGGCAACAGACTCTGTCTCAAGAGAAAAAAAAGAAAAAAAGAAAGCAGCATGAGGAAGGCGGCTGATAGCCCGACACAGTAAAAATTCTCCAAATATAAGAGATTCACCACCCTCGTCACCTACACAAAAAATTTTGCCAAAGAGAAACTGGCCACATTCAGGCTAGATAGCACCAAGGTACCATCCAGATCCAAACCAGATAGCCTGCCTTGAGCTAGCCAAAGTCTACTGATTCCATGTTTCTCCTGTGTGAAATGGCCCATCCCAGTGCCTGGAACAGCAGACATAACTCCACTCAACATTCCTTCAGTCTGACTTGATTATCTCATAATCAAAAAGTTAGTTCTGCTGTGGAATGAATAACGGCTGACTTTCTGCTTAATCTGTACATAAACCACATAATACACTCTCACATACAGGAATGTGGCAGCTGTGAACCAGAAGACTAGATACCAGATGCCTTTTACGACTTCGTCATTCCTCTTCTAAGGAGGTATTTCCATCAGAAATAGAAGAAAAAAAAAAACCTAAATGCATAAAGATGTTCTTCAGACTTACCAGGTAGTCACTTGAAAATCTAAAAACAAGGGATTTAACACATGACAATATACCAATACCAGGAATTTTTTTTTTAATAGAGACAGGATCCCACTATGTTGCTCAGGCTGATTCTCAAACTCCTGGTCTCAAGCATTTCTCCTGCCTCAGCCTCCCAAAGTGCTGGGATTACAACCATGAGCCACCGCACCCAACTAATACCAGAATTAAATGCAGCTTTCCTGCCCCGCTACCCTCCCCCACAATGGAGTCTTGCTCTGTTGCCCAGAGCTGGAGTGCAATGGCGCTATCTCAGCTCACTGCATCCTCACCTCCCAGGTTCAAGCAATTCTCCTGCCTCACCCTCCCGAGTAGCTGGGATTACAGGTGTGCACCACCACGCCTGGCTAGTTTTTGTATTTTTAGTAGAGACGGGGTTTCACCATGTTGGCCAGGCTGGTCTCATACTCCTGACTTCGTGATCCGCCCGCTTCTGCCTCCCAAGGTGCTGGAATTACAGGTGTGAGCCACCACGCCCAGCCTTAAATGCAGCTTTTTAAAACTTAAGACTATAGCAACATCAAAAGTTCATGGCAGTGTTAACTGAAAAAACCAGAATGGTATATTTACTATACCTGGAGTTATATAAAAATATGCATGTATGTGGAAATGAGTAAGCCAAATAAATATGAGTGACATTCACATACTGGAGTGTCATAATGTTCTGTACTGTTAGTAAACTATATATATATTTTTTGAGACAGAGTCTCACTCGTTGCCCAGGCTGGAGTACAGCGGCATGATATCAGCTCACTGCAACCTTTGCCTCCCAGGTTCAAGCAATTATCTTGCCTCAGCCTCCCGAGTAGCTAGGATTATAGATACACGCTACCACACCCAACAATTTTTGTATTTTTAGTAAAGTTGGGGTTTCACCATGTTGGCCAGGCTGGTCTTCAACTCCTTACCTCAAGTGATCCACCCACCTCTGTCTCCCAAAGTGCTGGGATTACAGACCTGAGCCACCACCCCCGATGGGTAAATTATTTTCATTAAAGAAGTTACACTGTGCTAGCCGGGCGCGGTGGCTCACGCCTGTAATCCCAGCACTTTGGGAGGCCAAGGCGGGTGGATCACGAGGTCAGGAGATGGAGACCATCTTGGCTAACACAGTGAAACCCCGTCTCTACTAAAAATACAAAAAAATTAGCCAGGCGTGGTGGCGGGTGCCTGTAGTCCCAGCTACTCAGGAGGCTGAGGCAGGAGAATGGCGTGAACCCAGGAAGCAGAGCTTGCAGTGAGCCAAGATCACGCCACTGCACTCCAGCCTGGGTGACAGGGCAAGACTCCGTCTCAAAAAAAAAAAAGTTGTCTCAACTCTTCCCTACCCCTATGGCACTCTACTCTGATGGTGAAGAGTGCTTACTTTTGCTAAAAAAAAAAATGAGTAAGTTTTGTAACACTGCTAGAACACATTCTCAAGCTTGTAATATAAAAGTAGTGTTGTTGATTCAACAGATGTGAATAAGAGAAAATCAAAGTATATAGGCCAGGTGCGGTGGCTCACACCTGTAATCCCAGCACTTTGGGAGGCCTAGGCGGGTGGATCACAAGGTCAGGAGTTCAAGACCATCCTGCCCAACAGAGTGAAACCCCCATCTCCACTAAAAATACAGAAATTAGCCAGGCATGGTGGCACGCGCCTGTAGTCCCAGCTACTCGGGAGGCTGAGGCGGGAGAATTGCTTGAACCCAGGAGGTGAAGGTTGTAGTGAGCTGAGACCACACCATTGCACTCCAGCCTAGGTGAGAGTGAGACTCTGTCTCAAAAAGAAAAAAGAAACCAAAGTAAGAGTTAAGAGTTTGGACTTTGGGTTCTTGGTGAATTCACTAGGAAATGCCCAGGACAAATGGATGCCCTCCTGGAGAAGATAAACAAGGGCTTATGCCTTCAAAAATGAGCCAACCAAGGAGAACCTCTATGTACCTTACCCTGGTAGGGGCACAGCTGCTGACAAGCAGAGCCATGTATCTAATTGTTAACTTCCCACAGCAACCCGTACAGCCCTCCAGAATGAAGTTTAGTTAGCTTGTTATAAGGTTAAGAAAAAATCCAAGTTCTCATATCAGGGTTCATTAGGATGACCAATCATACATTCTTAAGACTAAAGACACTTGGACCTGGTCGTCTTCCTGGTAGACCAACTTTGAGCTGTTTAATTACAAAAAAAAAAAAAAAAAAACTGGGGCAAGTGGGAAATGCCTGGATGTTTGGCCTTCTCCAGCAGAGCTTGAAACAGTGACAGCAGCAGCTGCCAGCCACTGAGCACTGGGCCGTCTCATCCTCACCTCAGCCTGCCAGTGACACTCCCCATTTTAGAGCGGGGCAGTCTCCGCAGTTAAGTAGCCTGCCCAAGGCCACAGTGACAGATCTGGGAAAATGAGATTGTATCAACAAAGCAACAGGAATGCACCTAAATCAGACTAAGATGCTTAACATTTGGCAAATCTTCCACCTAATAAATGGAGCTTCAATACTGACATGATTCAGCCAACCTAACAAACTGACATTTGTTGGGACAAGGTAAGGCGGGCATGTTGCAGAATCATCTCCAGTCCGCTTGTAGGAAGCCTCAGCTCTTCCCCGCCCCTATGGCACTCTACTCTGAGGGTGAAGAGTGCTTACTTGTGATCAGAGAATTCATGATGACATGGGTAGCTTTAGCCTTCACCACTGGGACCTTGTCCACACTGTCAATGGCCGATGACAGGGTCATGGCAGAGGAGGGTAGATTGGCCTCTCCTTCCTCCACCTGTTCAAGAGAGGTACAGTACAGAAGCACTTAGGCAGGGCAGGGGAGACACACACCTAAACTTACTCCTTTGGGGAGGAAGTTACTGAAATAACATTAATCTGGTAAGTGAGGAAATCGTTGAAGGGAAGAGTTGGTCATCTCCACCCAGCTAGATAGGTATTATCCAAAGTGACAACAAAAACAGACATTATGTGAATAGTTTACATTTATAAAGGTGGGAAAGTCAGAATTTGAAAGTCTGAGGTCTACTACCTTCCTAGACTGACCTTCCAGTATACTATAGTACTATGCCCTAAGAATGCAGAAGAAATGCTTATTATGAAGCACTGGCCACATCCCAGCACTGTGCTGGATCTTAATTGATGAGAGCACTAGGTAAGTGGTTCTCACCCTGGGCCAGGCGTTAAAACAGACTGCCGGGCTCCACCTCAGTTTGATTCAGTAGGTCCCGGGTGGTCCGGGGTGGAGTTCAAGAATTTGTTTCTAATAAATTCCCAGGTGATACTGCTGCTGCTGGTCCCAAGACCACACCTGAGGACCACTGTTCCCAAGGTTCAAGTAATGGTCTTTTGAAACAAACAAAAAAATCTACTTAGCTCTTCATTTTCAACATGCAAGAGCTGGGAGCCTCCACCTTCTGCAATCGAAACACCTGATACCTTACTCAGGCCTAGCAGGGAGGAGAGAACAAGACTTACTCTTTATTCTGTGCCTGTCTGGAAGAACTGAGAAGAAAATAAGATGGTTGAAAAAAAGGGGGGGACAGATAAAAAGTACTGAAAAATGTTGTATCCTTACTACAAAACGGAATTTATACCTTTAAGCTGTGACCTTGAGTAAAACTTGAGCCTATGTTTCCTTACTGGGAAGATGGTTGATTCCTAACATGGGGAGAGTTAGGGCAAATGAAAGATCGCATGTGATGAGTCAGGCGGAGCTCTCCTTTGGCACAGCTGTTCCAAGTTGTCAGCTGTTCCAGCTGAGGCCCCGCAGAAACCTGGAAGCCCGCTCATTCCCTGCCTTGTGGAGCCATCAGCAGAGTGTGTGGCCTGGGAAGCGCCACCAGAAGCCCCGCTCACCTCCTGCTCTGGACCCTCAAGCCCACTGCTCTGACGTCACAGGCAAGCTGCAGCAGGCCTTTTCTCCTTGCACTTTTGCTACCTGTTACGTGGCATACTCTCTCCTCAACAGCTGACTGGCTCATATTTCAGTAGATAATTGATATAGGGAATATCCCCCAGAGCTGTAGGGGGTACTTTCTTAGAAAGGAGCTTTCTGCCCTCAGAGTGTACTGGAGGTGGGGGGAAAAAACACTCCTTAGAAAGAATCAAATATGGCTCTGCAAAGAGAAAGTTAAGCAGGGAGCCTGCGTTCATAGTACCAGCTGTGTAGCTAATACAGAATGTGCCAAGCCTTTACATCCCTTTACTCAATCCCCACAGCACCTCTATGACATAAGGTATTCCCAGCTCTCAGAGGGAGACACTGGGGCTCAGGGTGCAGTTGTGTGCCCAAGGTCTTGCTAGGACAGACCACCTGGGACTCACACCCCGGTCTATTTCAGGGGACCCTTACTGTGTACTGCCTGTCAGGCCCTGAGCTATCATATGGCTCAAAGTTCAGAGAAACTGTAACTACAGGTTAGACAGCCTTATGTGAACTTGGTGGACTTACGTTATTCAGGCAACAGTCTAGCCTTTCTGTATTCTTGGTGGCTGGAGAGTCAGAGGGGAGAGGGTCCCTGAGGTCGGGAAACAGAGGCTCCAATAATACGAACCTACGAAACTAGACTGCATGAAAGACTGTGAGGTGTGTTCGGAGGGGCCTTAGGAAGGAGGCAGTTCTTACAGAGGACGGCCATGGGCAAAGGCAGCTGAGGCTGGAAGAACAGCATGAGGAGAGGTACAGCATGTGTTCAAGAAAGGGCCAATTTTTTTCCCCAATCACAAAATGAGCATTTTTTGGGAATCATGCCAGGCCCTCGGCTGGATTCTGCAGGTAACAGTACAAACCTAGACACGGCCCCTGTCCTCAGGAAGCTAATGGAGGGTAGGAAAGCAATGCAGGAATGACGATGGGGACCATGGTACCGTGGGGAGCTCAGAGGGAGGGGTGATGGTCTTATCAGGAGGACGGAGATGTCACGCAAACTGTCACAGAAGAGACTTTTGAGCTAAGACTTAAAGGGCAAATGGAGTGGGAGAAGGGGTGAGAGGACAGGATGAGGATGGTAAACATCCTAAACAATCAGGGCAGTGTGAGCCAAACACGGACAGGCAGAAAATACGCTGGTAAGTGCGAGAATTTTAGGTAACTTGCGTGGTTCAAGCACTGGGTAGGGGAGCTGGGGAGATGCAGGCAAGACTTAGATCACATGGAACGTGGATCATGCTGAGCTTGGATTTAGCTCTGTGGGGAATGTGGAAGAGTCTCAGGAGCAGACAAGGCCATTCGAGTTTTGAATTAAAAAGAAAAAAACAGAGGGGGATTTAGAAAACCATCTATTGGGTACACTGTACACTGTTCGGGTGACGGACACACAAAAACCCAAAACTCAACAACAAAAAAATCAACCAAGGGAAAAAAAACCCCGGGCAACCCAAAAACAACGAAATTTTTTTTTTAACAAAATAAATAAAATCTTAAAGAAGAAAAGACAACTGTAACTGAGGCACAGAAAACACATACAGGGATGGTTGCTGCCCAACTCCGTGGGCACAGGGAGCCGCTGAAGGCTCCTGGAGCAGAAGAAGGACAAACGGGTTGCGTGTGCCAGAAGCGGCCAGCAGGGTCAGGTACCTTGGCGAGGTGCTGATACTTGCGCTCTGGAATCACTGGCTTCCAAGGGACGCTGCCCATGTCCGATGGAGGAGGAGTCATGGGCGCAGGGTCCTCGAGGGTATCATCATAGCTGAGTGCCCGGCGGTATATCCCGATGGGCAGGGACATCTTGCCTAGAGGCCCACTAGCCTCAAGAGCTAAGAACAGAGACACCTGTCAAGACAGGTTCAGCAACTGGACATACTAGTAGCTTTGAATTAATCTGCAGGAAGGAAAGCTCTGAAATACTCTTGTTCTCGGACAGAGCAAAACAGCTTGCTCTGGAGTAGCTAATCCCGTTCAGGAAAGGCAGTGGCACCAAGCCCTTCCTCTATGCCTGACACGGGGGGGGGTCCGCTTAACCCACTCAGCTGTCCTAATCCTTTTTTTTTATTTGTTTAGAGACACAGTCTATGTTGCCCAGGCTGGAGTGCAGCGGCACCATCACGGCTCACTGCAGGTTCGACCTCCTGGCTCAAGTGCCTCAGCCCAGTGAGTAGTTGGGATTATAGGCATATGCCACCACGTCCAGCTAATTTTCATGGATTAGGAAACCTGAAGTTCCATTTAAATGTACTTGACCACAACTTCCAAGTACAGTTTGGAATCAAAACCCAAACCTATCTGATTTCAAACCTGTGTCCTTTATGCCACAGAAGCCACCCTCCTACTGCAATACTAAAGCTCTCAATTCATGCAAGACTGAGGATATGAAATGACTGAGGATACGAAGTTCTCATTCCCATTTCATACATGAGGAAACTAAGGCCTAGGGGTAAACTGATCTTCCCAAGTTCATTCAGAAAATGGCTGCCTGGGGCTCAGCCAAGGTCTGTGGATCTTCTACCTTCCTTTCCTCACCAAAGAAAACAGCACTGCAAGAAATGTTGTCTGGCATCACCTGTAGTTGCAAATGTTCTGTATGATTTATTCCAACAGCAGAGTCACTTTCCATCACAGAAATGATTGACAACCCCTCTCGCAAACCACCACCAGCTGATCCCGCCATTCCTGTCCACTGGAACTGACGCCCAGCATGTCCGGTTGTGATGCGGGCACTCTCGGCTGTGCCAGACCAGGGAGCCAAGTTCACTGTGTTTCGTTTACTAACCCTTGCGTATCAGAACTCATGTCCAGACCCCACCTGAGAGGCGACATGTTCCTGTTGCTAAAATCATACAATCACATTCTCTAAGACATCAACCTGCCTGGCAGTAAGTCCAAAACCAAAAAAGATTTCATTTAAATGGCAAGGGGACCAAGCAGCTCTCACTATTATTCCTATTGCTATTAGTAATAATTAACAAAACCATAGAAATAAAAAGAGGATTAGAGGTTGCCAGGGAGTGGGTGGGGGGCAGTGAGGATGCGACTGCTAATGGTATGAGGTTTTCCTGTGGAGGTTATGAAAACGTACTGCGATTTGGCCGGGTGCGGTGGCTCACGCCTGTAATCCCAGCACTTTGGGAGGCTGATGTGGGTGGATCACCTGAGGTCAGGCGTTCCAGCCTGGCCAACATGGCGAAACCCCATCTCTACTCAAAATACAAAAATTAGCCAGGCGTGGTGGTACGTGCCTGTAGTCCCAGCTACTTGGGAAACTGAGGCAGGAGAATTGCTTGAACCCGGGAGGCGGAGGTTGCAGAGAGCCAAGATCGTGCCACTGCACTCCAGCCTAGGCAACAGAGTGAGATTCCATCTCAAAAAGAAAGAAAATGTACTGCAACTAGATAGTAGTTCTGTTTGCACAACCCTGTGAATATCCTAAAAATCCCAACATTGTTCACTTTCGGTGGGTGAATTTTATGGTGTGTGCATCACATCTCAAACACACACACAAGCGAATATTACTAAGTCTTCCTCCTTGCTAGACAATTACGTCCCTCATCTTATCTAATCCTCATTAAGCAGATACTCTTCCCATTTTCCAATTTCCCATTTTCACAATCAACTCGCCCAATATCACCTCGCTTGAAAGAGTGCGCCGGGAACTGGAACACAGACCTGAGCCAGTGCACACACTCTGCATGCAACACACTACAAAGCATTCACCGAATGGGCACAACCCTACGGCTCGCGATGGCTACATGGAGTGTACGGTAATCACAGCAACAATGAAAGACAAACTAAAACAGAGCTGATGATGTTAAAACTAGAGATGGATCTATATTGGGGAATGCAGGAGACTTCTGTTAATCCACCTAGTTGGGAAGCAATTTCGAAAACATCTTAAAGATTCCCACTGAACAGCCATCCTAAAACCAATCAAGTCAGCTAATACTTACTAGAAAATATGTTCGTGTACAGACAGACCAAATGCATTCTGGGCAGTAAATACATATTTATCACTGATTTTTAACTCCCATTTTTACATATTTTGTTTAATCTTCACAATCCTGAGAGATAGGAACTATCATCTTTCTTTGTCATCATACTTTACCGAGAATCAGAAATTAAGCGATTCAGATTTAATTAAAAATCACTTTCCTTTCTCATGAAACAATTCAAGTAGTCATCAATGGTGTCAGTAACCCAGAAATTGACTCATTAAGGGTTGCTGTGAGCATTTTCATGATTAAGTTCAATCTGCCATTTAAGCAGGCTGGTGCCATTTTACCAAGACTTCCATCCCACCTCCCCACCACCCCCAAAAAGGTGAGTTTAATCACTTTGGTGCATACTACAAGAAGGTGAGTTTAATCACTTTGGTACATACTACAAGAACTGCACAACTTATTCTGAATTCTTATTTGATAACTAGGAAAGTAACAAACTTGTCATAATACCCTTAACTGAAGTGACTATTCTCCTTAAGTTAAAGTTTCATACTATGGCTGAGCAACTAATAAAATATTTAAATGATGCCAATCTAAGACCGGGCACGGTGGCTCACACCTGTAATCCCAGCACTTTGTTTGGAAGGCCAAGGCGGAAGGATCATCTGAGGTCAGGAGTTTGAGACTAGCCTGGCCAACATGGAGAAACCATGTCTCTATTAAAAATACAAAAAATTAGCCAGGCGCAGTGGCAGGCACCTGTAATCCCAGCTACTCGAGGCTGAGGCAGGAGAATCACTTGATCCTGGGAGGCGGAGGTCGCCGTGAGCTGAGATCATGCCGCTGCATTCCAGCCTGGGCAGAGTGAGACTCCATCTCGAAAGTAAAATAAAACTGGCCGGGCGCGGTGGCTCACACCTGTAATCCCAACACTTTGGGAGGCCGAAGCGGGCGGATCACAAGGTCAGGAGATCAAGACCAGCCTGGCCAATATAGTGAAACCCCATCACAAAAATTAGCTGGGCGTGGTGGTGTGTGCCTGTAATCCCAGTTATTGGGGAGGCTGAGGCAGGAGAATGGCTTGAACCCAGGAGGTGGAGGTTTGCAGTGAGCTGAGATTGTGCCACTGCACTCCAGCCTGGGCAACAGAGCAAGACTCCATCTCAAAAAAATAAAATAAAATAAGCCAATCTATTAAGTCTAAATACTCACCTGGTGGCAGAGATTAACCATTAACATATAGTTCAGATAAAATGGTTACTATCTAGCTTAAAACATTAATAAGGGCAAAACATGATTTTACCAAGAAGAATTAAGTTTACCAGGCACTTCTGGTTGTCTTGAAGCCATTGAAAGACTGGGATCCAGGTGCTTTTTCTATATAGAATTCGGAGCTGAGTCCCTGCCACCTAATAAAATAACAAAGGGCATTTTCTTATGGTGAACACCAAAGAGCAGCACCAATGCTGTTCTTCTGACAGGCACACAGAATTTTATGGCTTGTTTACAAGGTTGAAACACACACACACAAGAGCCAGTGGGTGACAAACATGCCAATGGAAAAAGAAGGATAAAGTCAAAGGTCTCACCACACC